TAAGCAGTGCAGATTTAAATGTTAAAAAAAAACATAGATACAAGTCTAGGTAGTTTTACTTACGACTGTCGTTGACAAATCTTTTTAGAGTAGTCAGTGGGACTTTTCTATTTCATGGTGGGTCCAACCCTTCAGACATTTCAATACATGCAAACCATTGGCTGAAAAATCAATGTATTTTACAGAGGGATATTCTCTAAACAGACCAAGCAGAATTTTTTTTTTTCCCTCTAAAGTTTTAATTAAAAAAAAAAAAAATCTGACTGCCGTTTCTAAGTATCCACAGCTGTGTTCTTGCTGCAGCATGGCCAAGGAAGCCCTGGAGCGCTCCGGCCGTGCGGAGCAGCCTCGGCACCGCCGCGCTCCATCTGCCGGTGCGTGGGGAAAATCTCCCGTGCGCCTCTACCTCCCTCTGCCGCCCTGGCAGCCGGCTCGGAATGATTTCTGACCGCTCAGATCGACCTGCGACGCCGCTTTCATGCTGGGCAGAGTTGCGATATTTAGCCCGTGGTGTTACCTTACTTCCTTCCTTTCTTACAGGGCCGTCCAGGCATCTTCATCCGTCATCGAGGTTAGCGGCTGAGATCGTGTTTCAGCCTTTTGAGAGCTGCGATTAGGAGGCCAAGGATGTCTGAAAGACCCACTTCTCCAGCCACAACTAGCTGTGACTGCCAATTCTTCTGATTCAGTTGTAATTTCTGTGTGTAAATTGGTGGTCTAGAAAAGGGACAAGTAGGAAGAAATCTATTGCTAACATCAGAGAAATTAATTTATTGTCTGTATTTGTAACATCTTGTCAGTGACTTGGGCCAAAGGCCAAAAAACCCCTTTGAACTGAGGGAAAAGTGTCTGCAGATATGAGCAGTGCTGGGATTATCCATTCAGTTAAAACAGATCTTTATCTGCAGTGCCAGTCAATCTACATGGCCAGCTCTGGCTAGAAAATCTCAAGTGAGAAATCTGTTCTTCAAGGAGACCAAAAGGGGTTGCTATTTGGATTTTGATGTTTTACTATGATGAAAAGGTGTATTCGCCATGGAAAATTAAATATTTGCTTCAGAAGATGGCAATAGAACATATTCAGTCTTGTCTGTTTCTCTAAAAAGATGTGACTTAAGAAATCAGTTCATTTTGAACAGCATTACCTTTGCAAGTAGAAAATCATTCATCCAAGGGCCCTCCAATGAAATTTAACATTATTTCTTCAGCTTCTGAAAACAATAACAGAAGTTAATAGCAACTTTTGTATTCTGATCTTTTGCAGGGCAGAGAAACTAAGCTGACCCTACTTTTCCACCTGTAAAACTAAATTCCTTTGGCTGAAGTCAGAGTTTACAGCTGTCTCCTTGCAGTGCTTTGCACGCATGCAGCATGGGGAAGCTCCCAAATCTCCCAGCTGCCGTGAGGGAATAGGGGAATGGGGGAAGGAAAATGAGCTCATCTGGAATGAAGATCAGTCCCTGCATAAGCTTTCAGGTTTTCCCCATGGACCCTTTCACTGGTGGGTTTGGATGTGTAAAGGAGGCCTGGAGTCTCTCAGGCATTTGTGGTGGCTCAGGGCTGGCTGTCAGGCACTTTTTGAGTTGTGTCCTGACCCCTGGAATACCGCACAGGAGTGGAAGCCTGGGATTTCTACACAGATTGGGAAGGTTTTTTTGTAAGGTTCTCTCCCCTCCACTGCTGCTTCCCCTGCAGTTCCAAGCCTTCTCCTGACCCCTGTTCTGCAGAGGGTTATCAGAACTGGTTGTACACCAGCCTGCCAGCTCTCCCTCTGCCACCATACCAGCAAGCCCTCTCAGCCCTCTGACACAGTCACCTTTCCTCATCCATCCCCATGTTCTCTGCTGTGCCTGTCCTCCCCATGCTCAGGGTGCCACAGCGATGAAAGTGGTCTTACCAGGCCCTTGCAAAAGGACTACTTCTCTTTTTTTTAACCATTAATAATTTATGGTATGCATCTACCTTATCTGATGAAATTCTGAGGTTATGTCCTTCTCCTTCTTTCTTCTTCTTTTTCTTTTTCTTTCCTGTTTTACTTATTTAGGAGAGTGCTGCCCATTGTGGTTTCTCCTCCCTGAGATGTTTTCAGCCCTCACCACTTTTGCTTGCCTTGCTCAAGCACATGTGGTTTATTCTTCCCCTGAATCACAGTTTCAGCAGCAGCCTAAGCCGTGCTGGGTCCCTTGCCATCATTGCTGTTGCTCTGTCCATTGCTGCCTACAGAGCCCATAATAATCCTTGTAGGGAGCTGATACACTCAGGACTTCTGTGCTAATACCACCCATGTGGGAGGTCTTGCTGAGGACACAATCGGCTGCAGTTCCCCACTCCTACGAAGCTACAGTTTGGAAGAGTGAATTTTGCTTGTTTCTGCTGTCTCATTCAAGGCACTCTGTTGCTCCAGAATGACATCCTCTCAGTGTTGTGCTACTGGGAGCTGTCACTGCCATGTACCATCCCCCCTTTTCTTTTTTTTTTTTTTTTTTTTCTTTCAAGTCAGTACTTTAGCAATACTTTCCTGAACCATCCAGTTAGCTTTGTTTTCACATGATGAATTTGTATTCAAATTTGTATCCAGCTCACCTGCTGGATGATGGACCGAGGATTAAGTTGAATATATTACATTAATTATGGCCATTTTTAAGATGAGTGTCCATCCCTTTACCACTTGTACGCTATCCAAGTGTGTTGGAGGTGTTTGATAGAAAATGCTCAGTTAATTTAGATGTTGCATGCCTGAGGTTTGACAACCATTTTAGCCGTCCTTAGATGTAGTTTCAGTGGAAGCTGGACTGTGGTTTTGGTGGATCTCTGTTGGGAAGAAAGCTGGTTTGTTCTCCTAGCACTTAGAGGAGCAGCTCTGTGTTCCTGCTGTCCCTGCACTGCTGCAGAATGATCATCCCTCCCTGGGAGGAGAGAGCAAATATTGCAAGAATCTGCAAACTACAGAGATACTCACTTGACCTCTACATGAATGTGTTCCCTGTACTTCTACTGTAAAAGCTTGAAGAAGGGGTTCTAGCAACTTCTGGACATGAGTGTTTCAAAGCCAGTATTCCCAGTGCATTCTTCCTTGTGTGGAACACAAAAAATCATCCCTGTGCAGGTTGAAAGGTCACTGGGCACCAGTGCAGCATTTCTTACGGATACATGCATGTTTCCGTGCATGCCTCTGGCCTATCACATAGTCTTGATGGCATCTGCCAGTAAGTTCTCATAGGAGATTTATGAGATAAAATGGTCACGAAAAGTAGTCTTCCTTTTTACTGTAAGTTTTATTACACCACAGTGTCCTGCAGAGTGTGCCTTGTTCTTGGGACATTGGTCTACAACAAAAAAAATTTAGGGGTGGGGATTTTATTTAAGGATATTTAAAAAATGTTTGTTTTCTCAAAGTTTGGCATGCAAAAGTTAAAAAGAATAAACCAGAAAAACTGTTCCTAAATAATTCATTGTATGTTTCACATTCAAACTTAAATTATATGCTATTTTCTCATTTTCCAACTATGGAATAATTCTGCCCTAAAAATTAATCATTACTGTATAATGAGGGGAACTGTTTTCTGTAAAGCCTGAATTACACATCTGTGAAGTGGTGGGGTTACAAGAAGAGGAAGAGAGAAGACTTTCCCTTAGTCATGGAATAGGGACCTGGCCCAGCAGCTGAGTTATTTCTCCATCAGTGATCCCATGCTTAACCAGTGAAACCCAGAGCCCCCTAGGGAGCTGTTCCCTGTGAGCTTCTCATTGCCTGGCTTAATACCTACTTGCAGAAATGCCAAGCACTGTGAGCTGCAAAAGGCTTTGGAAGCACTCCCCTGAACCAGACATCCTGCAAAAATCTATCTGAAAAAAAAACAACAGGTCATTGGCATCAAGGAGGATATGAGTTGATTTATCTGTTATGGCCCTTCATCTATAAATTGCAAATTTTATTACTAATTGCTTTACCTCTCCAACCCTTTCCATCAAAGGATGCTGACATAAAATGATGTTTACAAGATACTGTAGCAAGCACTGTTGAAGAAATGCCAGCGAGGAAGTGTGAGCACTAAATGTGGCCTAGGGATGCGTATTTAAGGATGGATGGGGGATGATTGCTGGCTTTTACATCGGTAAGCACCGTGCATCCCGTGCTTCGAGAGAAGCCGCGTCCAGCTTAAAGGCTCTGTTCTTTATAACATAAAGAAAGCAAAGGCACAGAATAAAGATTCGCTGACGATTTCTGACGTTTTCTAACTTTCTGCGGCTTTAATCTGCGGCAACAGTGACGGCGGAGCTACGAGGTTGAAAGGGACAGGCAGGGACGTCACGCAGCGTTGCCTGGATGTTGCTCCGGGATGACAGCTCGGGATGACAGCTTCTCCGCTGTCACCTGAGCTCCAGCAGCCCCGGCACCCCCGAGCGGCAGTCCCGCTGTGCGCGCCGCTTCTTTGGCCCTGTCCCGTCCCGCTCCGCCGGGGCTGGTCCCCAGAGCCGCCGCGGCAGCCGCGGAGGTGCGTCCGCCCGCGCTGTGTGCTGAGGCCGTGAGCAGCGAGCTGAAAACACTGCTCTCATCAGAACACAACAGATTCTGCATTTTGCTCTTCTCCGATGTTTAAACGCACTCAGCGGCATCAACTTAAACACCAGCGTTAGCACCACGGGATGTTATAACTTTATTTTCCCCTTTAAATCGACCCACAGGTATACGTAGATTTTATTTGAGACACCTCTTGCTAACGCAAGTTTCTCTGGGGGGGTTCCACAACATCCCCAGTATTTCCCGCCCTCTTTGACTCAATCCGTGATTCCCAAATCTGGTTCCCCGGTTGGTGGGAGGAGCCCGCGCCCCCCGGCTCCTCCCGCCGCGCCTGCGCGGGGCCGCCCTGCCGCTCCCGGCGCTCCCGCTCCCGCTGCTCCGGCTGCTCCCGCTGCCTCCCCGCCGGCAGCCGCCGCCGTCTCCCGCCGGGAGCCTCCCCGCGGCCGCCGCTCTCCCGCATGGAGCCGCCCGCCTGAGGGACGGCCCGCGGCCGCCCCGCCCTCGCTCCAGGTGATGCCGGTGCCGGGGTGACGATGCCGCCGGCGAGGCGGCGGCGGCCACTGCTGATGGAGGAGGCGGAGATGATGATGATGATGATGATGATGATGATAGAGGTGATGATGATGGGCTCCGCCGCCCGGCCCTGCCCCTGAGCTGCGGAGAAGCGCCAGCGGCCGGCTCCCCTCCTCCCCCGAGATCGCCCGGCTCCCCCCGGCCGCCGCCGCCCCCACTCCGTCCTCGATGTCTCCGCCGCGGCGCGGAGCTCCCTTGGCCGCCTCCCCGCCCTCTCGCTCCTCGCCGCCTCCCTCCCGCCCCGCGGTCCGGCGGCGGCACCATGAAGGTGGAAGCGGGGGACAACTCCATGATCAACCTGTCGGTGCAGCAAGTGCTGAGCCTGTGGGCTCACGGCACCGTCCTCCGCAGCCTCACGGGTAACGGGGCAGCGCGGGGCCGGGCGGCTGCGAGGGTGCGCCCCGGGGCTGGGCACAATGGAGGGCGTGGGGGTGGCGGTGGTCTCCGTGTGCTGTGCGTAGGGAGGGCTGGTGTCTGTGTTCCCCTGTCTCTCCGGGTGCCTCCGTGCGTGTTCTGTGAGCAGATATATCGTGTGTGTGTGTGTGTACGCCTGCTGTGGGGTAGGGAATCGGGAGGGGTCTCTGTGAGGTGTTGGTTGGGCTGGGTGTGTACCCGGTGTCTGGGATGCCTGCCCGTGCAAAGGACACGAGCGTGTGGGATGTGCTCGCTCACTTTTCTGTGCCCATGTATAATAAAAGAAGGCTATTGGCATAGGGTGTGTTTATGCGAGTGAAGTGATGGGTACCTCTGTGTGAGTGTATAAAAATATATGGAAGGCTGGAGTATGTTTGTGGAGGTGGTTGGTTTTATTTTATTTTATTTTTTTATTTTTTCCCCTTGTAGATATATGCTTATTGGCATTTGACAGAGAGCTATAAAAACAAACAAACAAACAAAACCCCAAAAAACCCAAAAAACAACAACTAGAAAACCATAAAATTGAATGTGGAGAATCAGAGACTCTCCCCCACTACCTCCAAGTATACCTGTGGATAATGAGACCTGTGGGAGTGAATGAGGTGGCAGTCGTTTTCTGACAAGTAGTTGTAATCTTAAGCATCTAGGATTCTTAAAGGCTGAGCTGTTATGAAAAAATTCTGTGAACCAAAGTGGAGTCAGGTCCTCATCCCCTGTTAGGAGAGGGGAGCTTTGGCTGGGTTTTGGTAAGAACTGGCTTTTTTCTGCTCAGTCTCAGGTTGAAAAATGGGTGTGGACTACTGTGAGACCCAAAGCTTATGGTGGAGAGGGGTATCTTCTCTTATTCTGTTCTTGTGTAGAGAAAAGCATAAGCTTCCAGCTCGGAACAAGCGGGGATTGGGTGTCAATACCAGAAATGTAATTGGGTGAATTCTTTCTGCTCAGTTGTAGGGGTGTATTAGGTGGTGACAGATTAGTGGAAAACATTCCTTAGGGATAGTTTTTAAACAGTTATGGAAATAGTCTAGTATTTATGAAAGAATGTTATGTCACCTTTTTGCACTCTGTAGTAATGATTGGTGTATTCTGTTTTATTTTTGATGTTTCAGAGGTGGAGGAAGTGTGATGGAAATAGAAGTGTAGCTGAAATTGGAGCTGTAGCAAACAGAAAGTGATCGTCTTTCTTGTTCTTTTAACTTTCAGGATGCATCTTAGTGTTATAAAAAAGATTAACCTTTTAATATTTATCTGATCTATGAACTTTGTAGTGTATGTCTCATAATTAGAGTTTCCAGGTATTAGTGAGGTGATACACTAAATACAGCTCACTTCCTGAGCAGTTACTTTAACATACCTACTTTAAAAACTTGTACACCTAAAGAAAAAAGTTCACAATGGATTTCACTTTGCTTTGTGTCAGACATCCTTGATAAAGTTGTTCTTATTAGATCATTCAGCATAGGCGTTTCTATGAAATTCAGTGCTGAGAGTTAAAATCAGCTCGTTTCTAAGTGCTTTTGCAATAAGATAAGGGCTTGCATAAGGTATTTTATATGTGGATTTTTTTTTATTATTTTTAACTTAAAAAATACGAAAAATAATTTTTTATCAATTGTAGTGTTGTTGGAGAATGTTTCACTGCCAGTTGTAGTTGGCATTTCTAAATTTATGTTTAAAACATGGCTGCTCTTACAGCCATAACCTGTTGAGCTGAATGTTCTCATGGACTGTCAACAGTCCAGAACTTGCACTGGACGTAAAAATCTTTTCCACAGGTTAGAGTATATATTGATATAATCATTGATATTAACAAAAAGCTGAACTAGTTACATAAGCCCTTCCTTACTCCTTATCGAAGTAAACTTTGTTCAAGACCAGAAATTCTGTTCTTTTCACTGCCAAGGAAATAGGTTTGTGAATGAGTTTATCTTCTTTGACTACTTAATCCATTCCCTTTTCCCTCCGTTAGGTAAAAGGAGAAACGTCTCCAGAATACTGGGAAAAGAAAATCATTAATATGCCATGTTCCATGAATAGTCCAGACTGCTTTGTGTCTGCTTTCAGACTTAATGTTGTGGTCTGGACTAGACTTTCAAGTTGCACAAGTGAAGAATTATCTCCTTTAGATAAACCATATTGATTATGTTTTCACAAACATGTTGCAAAATGTTATCAGATTCCTTCTACAAATATGTTAATTTTCTGAATTTTTCAACAGGGTCCTGATATGAATTCCAGCCTAAGCCAAGAATGCTTCATAGAGTCAGGAATACTTCATAGTTTAGTTTCGGTGGGCTCTTTTTCCTATCAATGAGAAACTGAAAGATTATTTTTATACCATCCATGTGAATCAGGTTCAATATAAAAAATGGAAATCTCATATTTCATTTGTGGCCTCAAATACCCAGGAGACCACAGACAAGTTCATTGCTGCCACATACACATCACACCTTGTAACAGATAAAGCTGCTGGTGTTGTTCCTTTTAGCTGAACATAGGCCCATGGTGTGCTTGCTTCCTGTCTTCCTGACCTCTCTTGGGAGGTGGAAGTAAGGCTTTAGGAATCATGGGAGAAGTGGGGTGGCTTTTGTCTCACTTTTTGTTACATCCTCCAGTATATCCCAAGAACACCTCCTTTATATGAGCTGGTTGTGTTTTAGAGTTAGTGCTAGATCAGGGTTTACTAGAAAAATCAGATAGCAGCTGAATTTGAACTGGAAAAGGAGAAAAAAATTCCCATTATTAGTAGCCAGTAAAATAAAAATTGCTTAAAGGCTGCTTTCACAATAAAGGACTTGGCAATATTTCTACTAATAGAAGCTCCTAAGCTCCATCCTGTGCTCATTTGTCCCAGATTGCCTGGATTTTCTTTGCCCCCTATGCTGTTATTTGAGAGGACAAGTCTGTAATTTGAGATTTAAATGCTTCCCAGCTAAGTGGTTTTTTTTTTTTTTTTTTCCCCCACTTAAAGCAGCAAAAATGTTAGCATCTCCAAACAACAATTTGGCTGTATTTTTGATAACTTTGAAAGTACCAGTTAATACAATAATTAAGGACAGGACCTGGTGCTGAAGAAAAAAAATGTAGCATGTAGAGAGCTGAGTTACATTTGCAGTTATCATATGCTGTCACTTCATTTGAGTGCTTTGAGTTTATAAGCTACAGGAATCTAATGTTACTGTTTTTTTGATAGTTCTAAATTTGACGTGAGCTACCTTGTTGACTTCAATGTGTATTTTTGTATTCTTAGTACAGGTGTTGATTGCTTGATTTACCTCTGTAACTAATAGTAGTAGGCTGGGTACTGGGTTTAGAATGGAGAGAGAAAGAGAGAGAAAGAGAGAGACATTTTGGAGTAATCACTTTTGATTTATGACATGTTGTAGGCAATCATTATTCATCTGGCAAAACAAGCTTAGAACTTAGAGGAAAAGTACTGAAGATTAAGGACTAAGGAGATACTCCATGTTTAATGAAGCTGTGTATCTGTAGTACATAAGCATGACATCTGATAGGTGTAAATATGAAAATTAACAAAGTGCTCTAAAACTGGCGTGATTGGGCATTAGTTGCAAGGTATTTGAGATTTGCAGCTTTTCTGGAAGGACAAAAATCCCTAACTGAGGCAAACCAGAGGAAAGGAACATAAACACTGTCTAAAATCTTCTTTTCAGTTTAAGCACTAAGAATTTTAAACAGGAAAGATGTATCTCAGTTGTTCCTATTAGAAGACAGCTGTGACATCTTTGCTGTATATTGAATGTCACTATGCTTGTAAACTACTGGGCTTTCCCTATTCCTGTATTTCTCTAGGAGCTGTGGAGTTTTGATACATGTATGTTGTGTTTTGGTGACTTCAAGTAATTTGGATACGCTAAAAGTAAACTCTGAAATTTTCTTAGGGTCAAGCAAAAGAAGTTGCAAGTGTTTTGTTAAAACTTGTTTGGTTGTTTTTTTTTAAATTGTATTCAATTCATATCTCTTTAGGGATGCTCTTTGAGGGCATGACTAAATAAACTGAGACTAGGTGAGTATTTGAATCTCCCTGACAGATATAGGTAAATCATTGCCTCTGTAACAGCGAAGTACTTAGTGCAGCTCATGTTGTCAAAAGAGCCAGCTAATTAGAATAGCTGCACAAAGACTGAAATTGGACTGTGCTTTTTCTTGTCAGAGTAGCAATACATAAATTTATGCTGCTTAAAGGATCAGTCAGTGTATAGGACATAAATAGCTGAGACACTTCAGTCTCACTTCCTCTTTCTTAGAGGTGTTGCAACTCAATTCAGCAATCAAACTACTCAGTCATTTTCGAGCAAGTGAAGTCTTGACCATTTGTGTTCAGAGCTGCACATTCTCTTTCTCTATTATTTAGTGGCATCTCTCAGTGTTATTCCCATCCAATTCTTTGTGTCTTTCAGTGTTACTCTCAGAGACTGCTTTTGAGAGTCATCTCTCTTCATGATTCAGGGGTTAGATGATACTGAATTTTACAGAACATGATTAATTCTCTGCCCTCACCGTATCAGGGTTTGAGTGTTCATGTTGTCCTCTAGGTGAATGGAGCTTAAGGTCTCTGACTTGCTTGAAGGGCTGTCTCTCTCTCCTTACCTTGTTCATCCCTGTTAAACAACTTACTTGGTGGGCTTCATTACTCGTCCTACAAGCAGAAGTAAAGAAATTACTGGCGTGAACTAGCCGGTATAGAAAGAGTAAATAAAGGAGGATAAAAATGATAACTTCTGGCCTTTCCTAGGAAAGGTGCTTGGAAGTGATTTGTCCTGTTTCAGGCTCCTACGTGATGTTTTAAGACATACATGATATTTTAATGAAGAGAGGTCATAGTTTAACAAAGTTCCAGCTGCTTTTGTGTCAAACAAAGAATATTTCTGGATGTTCTCTAATTTCCTTTTCAATATGCCTGCTGCTTTTAAGGAGTAGGAGGAGAAAGTGAAAGAACTGAAGTTTATGTTTCTTTAACCAACAGGACACTTTGGTGCTGGTTCTGTTCTCCAGCCTCCTGCCCTAAATATAAAGTGAGGGGTGATGCTAATTTTCCTTGAGCCTTATTTGGAATGTAAATAAGACCGAAGATAGTTGTTCACTGTGGAGCTATTTTGTTGTGTAAGAGTTTGTAAATATTTTTGGTTTCTTAGTTACAGGGGAGTAGTTAGCCTTCCCATAAGCTTTCATTTTCTTCTAAAAATACAATCATCCTAGTGAGTTTTCCTAAGACTGGAAGTCATTTGTCTTTTCTACCTGATAAAGGTTGACAATACCTACAAACACCAATTTCCTAAACGGTGATGCAGTGCCTAAGAAATCATGTAGAAATTACAGGATATGACAGTGTCAGATTCCCACAGACTTTCTTGGTCCAGATTGGTTAATAGATCCTAAGGTTTGTTTCTCTCTGTTGTCCAACTGTAGGTCTGGCAGGGCTGCCATGTTCTATATTGGTAGATCTTTGGTTAATCCTTTTGTTTATGTGCTTCCACTTGAATAAAACAATGGAAACATCCAGGCTGTGCTAGTAATGGACCAGGTCTGTTAGGACAGCAGGAGAGGTTCCCCTCCCACAGATTAGGTCAGCCAGTCTTTCTTCATTTTAGTGAGGGCATTTGTGGAGTTACTGCTTGACACTCCTGCCACTGTTCTGTCACAGTAGCTTCTGAGAATGATGAGATTCATTTAGTGGAACAATACCATGGTCATGATCCTTTTGCCAAGATTTTTGATGCCCATTTTGGTGCCAGGGGTGAAGGGATGGAGGATCTGAGGAGAGCTGCTCCAAGCCACTCTCAGGATGTGGACATATATACCCAGGCACTCAGAAGGAAAAGCTGCACCTTGAACTGCAGTTGAAGTATTAATTGGATGTAGATTTGCCAGCCACTTTCCTTGCTGCTCTCTTAAAAGACCCTTTTGGCTATCATGATTTAGAGGAGTTGTTTGTCCTTGGGCAAACATAGTGTTGCCATTTATGCCTGTGTGAAGGGGACAGGGCTGAGCTACTCCCAAAGTACTGCTAAATAAAAAAGGCTTGAACTCTGTATCTATGCTATCTGTATACCTATCCTACTGACAGTGGACTCCCGGGGCTGTGGTTATTGTGTAGCAACATTTTTTTGTTAGCATCTTTTCACAGTATGTTTTGTGCTGTTCAGTATTTTTAAGTTAACTAATTGGGACGTATTTTTTCCTCAAATAGTTGATATGAATCAAGCTGCATTAATACAGGCTTGCCTCATAAGCAATAAGTGTCTTGCTTTTGTAAGGAAGCTGGGATTTTTATTCTATTTTTGAGGGGAACTGCAGCAAAAACTGAATTAATGACAGTGTCATGGGATTGTGGAATATGTACCCTAATTTCTTAAGTTCTGTAATGATACATACCTACTGTACTTGAATAAAAACAGAAGGGATCTTTTCTTTTATTTACTCAGCCTCTTGATTTATAGAATGTTTTTAGAAAGTTGACACCAAGTGAGAAAGGTTCTTGAGTTATTGTGTAGCTCCATTGATGGTTCCAGGTTTCAGCTCTTTTCTTTGAAGGTGCTCATCATATCTGCCATTCTTCAAAGAAATGTTCGTGCTCCAAACATTCTCATGATCTGACACCCTTTGTAGTAATTCAAATAATAGTCACTACTGCTCTCTGAAGTTCTATACTAAGCAATTAGAAGCAAGGAGTTACATGTGTTAAAATTTCTTGTTAAACTGATAGTGTTTTTATTTGCATTATTGAAGTTAATTTGATGGAACACCCTATTACAGCTCCTGGGTGTAGATAATCTAAAGTTTTTAATCTCAGTTTTCCCATCTGATGTTGTCTCTTATTTGTGAGGGTGGGGGGTTGGGAAACAACAAAAGATCCACACCTGCCCCAAATAAAAGCTCATGACCCAAACAAACCCCAGACCAGTTCTTGACTTTTTCCTCCTTCAGTCTTTGTATCAGAGGGTATTTCATTCAACAGAAGCAGTTACAATGCCTACTATGAATTGCAATCAACACTATTTAAAGAAGCCATTAAAGGAATTATGGGTACTTGTAAAAATATATCTGAATTAAGATTTTTGCCAGAATCCTTTTTATAATTTTTAATATAATACAGCTGATTCTTTATGACAGACTGCTGAAGTGAGGAAAGAGTCTTGAGCATGTGCTGATGGTGTTCCACTTTGAAGATGGAAATCAGTATTGATTTTCTCTTACTGTTGATTGTTTGTAATGTTTTAAAGTTTCTTACTTATAAAGTTTTTGTCTTAAGAATATTAACCGTTTATTTGACTGCTTTCTTTCAGAGATGTGGTACTGGGTTTTCCTCTGGGCACTCTTCTCCTCTCTCTTTGTCCATGGTGCTGTGGGAGTATTAATGTTTGTGATGCTGCAGAGGCATAGGCAGGGGAGGCTGATATCTGTCATTGTGGTCAGCATTGGATTTCTGGGTTCTATAACTGGAGCAATGATAACCAGTAAGTCTGCCTTTTGTTCTTGTTTCGGTTTTTTGTTTGGTTGGTTTCTTTTGTTGTTGTTTTGGGGGTTTTCCCCCCTTTCTTATTTTACATCTAACTACTAATAAAAAAAAAATTTAAGCTTTGCTGATATTCTAGCTGAAATACTGTTTGTCAATGGCATCTGTTACAGTTTCTCATGGTATTAGATGAATGTCTACCACTGAAGATACATTTTTTTCATTTTTTTTTATTTCTTGACATTGTATCCTCAGAGAGATGCAACAGTTTTTTCTGTTAAAGCCCAAAGGTTCACAGAGCTGTAGTTAAAAACATTCATGTTTAAAACATTGCAGAAAAACATTGCAGAAAGTAGGAGTGTGTTATGTAGTAAAGTGTAGAAGGCTTACACCTGACCAAATATGACACAAGCGGTGTTGCCAAGAATGTTTTGAGGAAATGCTGCTCATCTGTCTTCATCTAGAGTTATTAGTATCAGATGCAGCTTTTCCATCTTTCCCAAGAAATTGCATTATCTATGTCAGCATAGATATGAAACATGGGCCATAAAACCTGTAGGACACTTTATTCATTCTTTGGTTTTATAATATCCAGCTCTGTTTATCCAACTTATAAATAGACTACAGTAGCTTTCCCAAGCAAGTAGGAGCATGCTGAGTTTTCTCTTGCGGGGGAAAAATAGTGAATGCTATTTTTTCAGGAAAGAAGCACATGCTCGTCTGCAGCACTGCTGGTAAGGAGTTCTTAGCATTAAAAACTACGTGTTGAATGGTTCCTATGTTACCTGAACAGTAGTTTCTGCCCCAAAAATCTTCAGTGTTGCAGAAAAGATTGCCTGACTTGAAAGGTCTCAGAGGGTAAGGAACCATAAATCTAGCAACCACCATATAGTCTGAAGGCAAAACTTCCCACCTTTCATTTTGGTTTTCCTGTGTTCTGCCCAGGTTATCAGAATAGTGGTATCGCTATTGGCTTTGGACACATTCATAGAGGATTTGTGTCAGATTATATCTTATTGCTGCTGGAAGACCTCCCTGATTATTGTCTTTCAAGGCTAAATAAAAATGCAAATGTCATGAGAAGTTTCACTAAGACTTTCCTGAAAAGGTTGTTTTAATTGCTGCAGATTTCTTAGCTTAGAATTTCCACTAGTTAACACAGCATAGTTCAGTATAACTATTTTTTGTTGGGGTTTTTGCAGGGGGTTGGGTTGTGTTTTTTTCATTAAGTTGGAACTAGTTGAGTGCCTTATGTTATATGTTATGCTGATTTTTGTCTTATGATTAAAAGGCAGTGGCCTGTTACAAGGTCAGCCATGCAGGAACATTTCTGAAGAACTGAGATAGGAAATGTTTTGTTGAAAGATCCAAGCAGAGACTTCCACAGCTTTGTGTGGTGGGGAGTTTTCAGGATCAGTGTCTCTCAAATGAAAGCACTTTGTACTTTCTATCTATGCATAAAAAGAGGAGCAACACAGTTGTATTTTTGGCATCCAGTTTTGCAGGTCAAAACATTTAGCACTTAAGCAATCCTGTTTGTGTGCATATTCATCTGAGAACTTCTCCAAGCTTACACTGTAGGCTTGTTATGCTGTTCCCAAAGGTTTTGCAAAGCATTGCAACTAGCTTAGGCAAGTACTTTTACCTTGAAGTATTTTTTGTTTCTGGCCAGAACTCAGTTGTTTCATACTGAAAGAAATTCTGTGGGGAGCTTTTGAAGGCAAATTATGGTGATCAAATATTAAAGAGGATTTTTAATAGCTATTATGCTGTAAACTGAGAGATGTCAGTTGAAATATCAGCTATTTGAATATGCCTGGTCCAGTGCTTAAGAAATTGAAATAGCAAACTGACTTCAATTTCCACTTTGCATTTCCAGTCTTCTGCATTGTTTGTGTAGGAGAATGAAGGCAGCATAGACTATTCACAGTGTGAGTTTAATTTTGCCCAGGGAGATCTTTCAGACTTTCTGATGTTCTGGAACATTTTTAGCAGCATATAGAAAAGCAGGAGACTTCTCAGTTTCTTAACTTTGAAAAGTCATGGAAATTAAGGGTAATTAATCAGAAGGGAATACAGTAAAAAAGAAAAAAACAACCAAAAAAACCTAAAACCATAACAAAAACAAAGAAACCCACAAAGCAACAACCAAAAAAACCCCACCAAGGCAAACAAGAATATATAAATACCAGGCAGCTTAAGACAAGAATTTTAGCTGTGTTTGATCGAGAAGGGCCTGTGCTTCCTCTTCTTCACTAGCACAATCCTTTTTGGTGACAAATTCTCATTTCCCTCATTGGCAGCTTATAGTACATACTTTTGGCTCGATACCAGTTGTGCTGGGTTATGCATTACAGGTTGTACTGCACACTATTATTTGTGTAATAATACCTAATTAGCAAACTACCAGATTTTTATTGTTTTATTCTGGATGCTTCCTAGAGTATCTCAGTGTTTTCTCAAAGCCCAAAATTTCTGTTATTGATCTACTAGTGACAATTCTGATATAATTTTGTGGCCAATTTGAATTTGCTTTGAAAGTTCAATCTGAAAAATAATTTTAATGTCAGTAGTGGGCTCAATCTAAAGGATCTTTTTCAGGTTTTGACAGCAGCTAGCCAAGAAACAAATGGAAAAGCTTATGAAAGGTATCTGAATGAAATACCATCATAAGGCTAGCCTTCTGGTGAGATACTGCAGATGAAATATACTTTACAGAATATGTTTAAAATAATAAAAAAAACCCACAAAAAACCCAATAAAAATAAATTAACCCAAAAATTGCCTAATAGTATGATTAAGAGTGTTTTTAAGTACCGTTATGGCCACAATGATTAGTAAATTCTATTCTTCCAAAGCTATTGTGAAACTGAGTTGTTACTTTTTGAAGATGTCAGATTATTCAGATGCTGATTGTAGTTTCAGAAAATCTGTTGCGACTCAATGTATTTCTGTGTCACTAATGGACTTTTGATCATTCCAGCAGACTATTACCATTAGTGACTGTGCAAGACCAAAAAAAAAACCCACCTTTTTTTTAAACTCTTGCTTATTATTTTTAAAAATTATGATGATTTTTCAGTTCTCTTTGAGCCTGAAAGAGCCTCTGTGATCTCTGGAGGCATTTAATTATGACTAGATAGCATCTGAGACAATGTATACTGAAGGTCTACAGTTAAATTTTGGGTTTGGTTTTGGTTGATCCTGGCCTCTTGATATTTCAAATGTGAATTTGCATACAAATGTACAAGAAAAATGATCTGTTGAGTTTGGAGCTTTTTTTATGTGCTGCAGCTCAAAATTTAATTGTATTGGTTAGAAATTTCCTCTCATACACATTTACGGAAAACACTGCAATACTTCAACCTTTTTCATGTTTTGCTGGATTTGCTAAACAATTATTAACAATTCAGTAGTTTAAGTTAAAACAAACTCATTTAGTGTGACCACTTTATTCAGCTAAAATATTAAATGAAGCTGGAAAATGTGTGTTTACAATTGTTTTGTTGACACTAGCAGCTTTATTGTTCTTGTCTTCTCCCTGCCGATACAAGCAGTATTAAAACACTCTTCAGACTTGGTCAGTTTTTAGACGACTGTCTTGCTACCTTTTCAAACTGGCACAAAGCAAAAAATGTTGGGAAAAAAATTTGAATATGTGTACAGGGAAACAACAAGATTTGCTTTTCTTAAATCTAACTGAGGATGGAAAAGTTGATCTGGTTCAATTGGGAAAATCATTCCTGAAGGATATATATAACTATAAAAATACAAGCAAGGCTGGTAATTGTGTAATGCCATGAAGTAATGCAGTGTTTGGTAATGCTCTATAAATAGCTGATACATAGACAGAGTAGATAATTTGTCACATATTTCAACCTTGGCTTTTCCTGTGATTTGATCATTGTTTTCCTTGTGATTCTTAGGTGCTGCAGTAGCTGGAATTTACAGAGTAGCAGGAAAGAATATGGCTCCCCTAGAAGCTCTTGTCTTTGGCGTTGGACAGACAGTACTGACATTAATTATCTCATTTTCACGAATTCTTGCAACGCTTTGAAACTTATGTAGAAAGGGGGGAGAAAAACGTCTTTAATCTGAGGAGAAGCTTCCTGAAAGTGGATTCGTCAGCTTATCAACTCGAATTCTAGTGCAAGAGGAAGGAAGCTATGTGGAAAGTGCACTACAAATCTCGAGGCTCAGTCAAATGAGCAGGCTGTCCTCTAGTGTTGGAACTGCTGCACTCCTGCACTGCGCCTTAACGTGCCTCTGTCACGGGCCAGGGGGGATCTCTGTGTGCCAAGCAGACACCGAGCACCTCCAGCAGCTGCCAGGCAGGTCCATGCTTGGTGCTGGGATCACTGTCCTTAACACCTTGGAATGAAACAGAGGGGCCATCCTGAAGGGTGCTTTGTGTGCCAGACTTGAAGAGGTTTGGTTTAACTCTGAGCGGGTGGCTGGGTGAGCTCTGGAATGTAGAAGAATTCTGTGAATATGCACAATTCTCCTTGAATTCAGGTGAAATAGTGAGGTTACTGACTTTTGTGTATTAGAAGAATCTCTCTGAATGCCGAATATTCTTGTTCAGCATTCAAAACAACTGTTAGATCTCTTTCAAAATGTAGATTAATTTTGATGGGGTTTAAGAACCACAGCTTTAACAACCCTGATATAATTAGCACTATGTGAAGAATGGCTCGTGGCAGTTTTGTTCCTTGGCACATTTCTTCGTGACTTTAGCTAGTCAGAAATCAGGAGTTTAAGGTAACTGTATGAAGGTTTTTAAGTACAAGCTGTTGTGTATGCGCAAACAAATCTTAAACTGATGTTTTCCTTGAAATTGTTTTGTTTTAAACATACAGATGCTTACCAGCCCTTCTGCAAACCTCAGAGAAAGGATTCTCATTGCAAATAAACTCCCTATATTTAATTAAGCACTGGTAGGACCCTTACCCCTACATATATTTTGTAAGGAAAACACAAATACAACAAACTCTCAGAGAATACACCTATGAGGAAAATGGAAAGGGTTAACAATATGATATATTGGTTTTCTACTGAACAAAAATATTAAGTGTAATAAAATGGTTACTGTACTCCAAAAATTTGTAAGTGGGGCAGCACTAATGTATTTACTACCTTGTTTCTGAACACTTTGTATCTTTGGAAAGATTAAGATACCTGGAACTTTCAAATACTTAGCTTTCAGTGGTTTGTGCTTCTCTAGTTTAAAAGGGACCGAGTGGTGTTGTTCATGTGAAATGTCATAAATGTGAGTGTTTGGAAAGTAAAGAGAAATTTTAAGTCTAATGACTAATTATTTATGAAATACAAAATTTAAAGGGCATAAAGTTCTGTGAAGAATAAGGAATCTTTTACATCTTTTCTCAGCTTAATGCTTTTCAGCAGTTGTCTCTTAATGATGACAGGGAGTAAATCACTCAAAGGTTTTGCTGTTATGATGTCAAAAAGACTTTCAGGACTGTCACAAACACTGGCACCTACTGTGCACCTAAAAGAATATGTTTAAAATATAACTTACAATCCAGTCATTGCTTGCATCAATTTATCAGTATGATAGTACTTTAAAATGTAATGAATTAACCTGTCTGCCTTTATCTTATTCCACATACATTTCTTTAAAGTACTAGGAATACTAATAGTATTTGTTTTCTTTAAAAGCATCAAAGTCTTATTTGGAAAACATACAAAGTTATGGGCTCTGCAGGGAACAAGTTAAAATATAGGTTTATATATATTTTCAGTGTTATTTTTACTTTTAATTGCTTCAAAACTGTGGCTGAATACATATACTGTCACTGATTTTTAATGTCTTCAGAAACTTTCCTGTGGTTTGTTTTTTTGTCTTTCACTTTCTGCTTATTGTTTTTGGCACACAACCATTGCACTTTAATAGACAATGAAATTATGACATCTGTAACAAGCAATTGAAACTTCTCCCCATTGTCTTAAATTGTGAGAAAACTGGTTTCAGGTATTTAAGTCAAATTGAATAATAAAGTGATTGAAGATATTTCTCCTAATGTGCCTTGTTACATGTATGATTAGGGGAGATGATTTTAAAAAAAATTGTCGCATCTTCATTCTTGTTCTATTTTGATTATTTCTAATTAATTTGGTTACTTAATACAGTGTCTTGTTCAGCAGACTTTAAAACATATTTGACAATCTGGAAATGCTTGTCTGGATCAAAACCAACCACAGCACAAAGCACTATGTTCAGTAATTTATATTGTTTCATGCCTTTATCTCACACTGAAATTTACTCACAGGTTCCAAATTTCCTTGAACATCTCAATCCTTATATTTTATAGGAGGCTATTATGCTGCCACTGCTTAATGGCTTGCTGTCTTTCACTAAGTTAAACTACAGCAGACTGCTCCTAGCTGATGAGATACATATGCTTGTATTGATGAACTTCATTCTTCATTTTAATTACTGTGCCAATGAAGTTTTTGCCATTGTAACTCTCCCTCATGGACAAGGAGGCATCTTTGAAGGTTTTAAGCTACCTTTCTTCAAGTACTTTTTATTGCATAGGTATTTGTATTCACTTTTAAGATGTTGTCATGTGCTTAGCTGTCTTTGCATTGTATAGCATTATTGCCTGGCAACAAAGGACAGGCAGATAATGTAATGCTTAAGTGGCCTAACAGGGACAAGGCTTTATTTGACAGAAGTTTGTTTTCAGCTGTTTCTTGTGAGGAGTTTATAATGATGAAGAGTTTGCCTGTGAAGTGTTCTTTAATCACAGCATGAACATACTGCTTAATAACTCCAACAGTGAAAGAAATTGTAAGTGGCCTTATGTCTGCAAAACTTGGAACTTTCATTCCATATCCCTAGAAACAGCGTTGTTAAGCATAAGGTGCTTTAGTGTTTAGGTGTGTGTGTATATATATATATGAATGAATAGTGGCTTTGTGGAGTGTGTTTTTATACCTGACACACTAACAACTAAAATAGATTTTCCAATAAAAAATAAAATTACTTTAGATAGCCTCCCCTCCTCCTGCCCCTTTTAACGAAGCTACAAAGATATCTTGTGTGTGAGTGAATGGCACAGATGGTACTCTGGTTCACCCTTGGACAATGCAGTGTTGTCCACACAGGATGTTTTAGCACTATCTTCAATCAGCTCTGCCTGTCTCTGCATTGTGTCACTGGGCACATTCTGCATTGTGCAGAAAAAATAATGCATCGACACAGTTTAATATTTGGAAGAAGGGTGAGTACTGAATATATTATTTAATGTAGGAAAGCTACTTTTTTTTAGAAGATGCTGCTATCAAAGATTTAAATTTTGCACACACTTTGAATTTATCAGTATGATCATAGAATTATAAAATACCAGCTTGGAGGGGACCTCAACCATGGTCTGGTCCAACCTTTCCTGGCAATAGCATGGTCTAGAAAAGGTAGCCCAGCGCCCTGACCAGCCAAGTCTTTAAAATGTCTAATGCTGGGGAGTCCAATAATTCCCTGTGGATTTTGTTCCAATGGCATTCTTCCAGTGTCCAACTGGAATATCACAAAGTAATTTGTACGCATGACCCCTCATCTTTTCCATGTGACTGCTTGTAAAAAGGGAGTCTTTTCTTTGTAGCCACCCTTTGAACATTGGAATATGGTGATAAAGGCTCCCTTAAGCCTTCTTTCTTCAAGGCAGAATCAACCCAGTTCTTTGCCTTTTCTCATATGTCAGGCTTCCCAGACCTTTGATTATCCCTGTGGCCTTTTTCTGGAGCCTTTCCAGCCTGTCCATGGTTTTGTGTGTTTTTTGCATGTCAGGGACCAAAGCTGAACACAGAGCACCCAGTATTGCAGGTGTGGCCTGTCAGGAGGCTGAGTGAGATAATGGGGATTTTATCTCTGCTGGTTATGCCCTTGTTGATGCAGTCCATCACATCAATGATCCTGTTGGCTTTGTTTGCCATAACAGCACACTGCTCACTCACATGGAGCTGCTTGTTCACAGGACCCCCAGATCCCTTTCCACAGAGCTGCTTCTCAGACAAGTCCATCCCAGCCTGTGCTGCACTCCTGGATTGTGTTTTCCCAAGTGCAAGATCTTACCCTTGTCCTTGTTGAACTTCCTAAAGTTTTTACACTGACCTTCAGCATGCTCAGCAGAATTCCACTACTGTGATCATGGCAGCCGAGGTTGTCACTGATTGGGATTTTACAAAGCAGGTTTCCTTGGCTTGTGAGTAGCAAGGCCAGCAGTGCCTCACCCTTGACTGGTACATCTAACCATCTGTATTCCAAATATGTCCTCTACATACTCCAGGAGCGTATGGATAACGTGTGGTCTGCTGTATTTTTCTTCCAACAAGTGTCTAGGCAGCCAAAATTGCTCATAGAACCAGGTTCTATTGACCCAAAGCTTTCTTAAGTGACACAAATATTGTTTAATTGGTGTTATTTCCTTGGTTTGGAGGTCAGTAGCAGATGCCTACTTGGAGATTCCTCTTGGAGACGACCTCTCTGACCCTGACTCAGGCATTCAGTAGAGCTTCCACAATCTGTGCATTGGTACAAATATACTGGAGGTGGTTGCTCTTTTGGTTCTCATCTTGGGAAGCAGCACCAAATGTTCCTTAGAACATTTGGCACCACTCTAGTTGGCTTGACTTATTCCCTAGGTCAAAAAATTTTGTTTTGATTCAAAACCTGCAGCTGTGTTTCTGGAAAAAAAGCTTCCAAATAAATATTGTCTTTAATTTTCTGGGTAATTTTGAGTTTATGAAATTAAGCTGTATGCTGTGGCTAGCCATGATTTGCTGTTGACTTTTTTTTAAGAAACCAATAATTTAACCAGTTTTGAACATTCAATGAGGATGTGAAGCTTGTCTAAACTTGTCTAAAGTAGCTTTTTATTTTTGAAGTACAGTTTTGATTTTGATAAGGAAAATAGTGTCTCCCTCTCAATATATTGTACATTGTTATTTATTTTGCTTAAAATTTGTATTTGAGTTCTGTTGTGGGGGGCACATATATAATGCCCTTTGAGCAAAAACTGTAATAGAGTCTTAAAAACTATAAGAACTGGTTTTTTTTGTTTTAATTTATGTATTTCATGCACTAGTCATATTTTAATAATACCTTGCCTGCATTAAATCTAAGTATTTATATCATGAGCATATTAAACTGGATGTTTTTGTGCACAGCCATCCAACATCACATGTATATAATTCCAGATGAATAGACACAATAGTATTGCTTGGTGTACTGAATTGTGGATTAATCAGTTAGCCCCTCTCCCCAGAAAGTGACTCTGATAAGGCCTAGAAATGCAATTGTGAACTGAGAATTTTTTTCAGTTGCTCTTCTGTTTCTAGAAATAGGTTTTTTCATCGTATGTGTATTTCACTTAAGGGGAAAAACATGGAGATAGGTCACAGTTGTCATCCTAATAGCCCATCTAATTCCAAACAATTTGAGACAAAACTGAATTCTGAATGTTGTTCACAAATTATGATGTATTATTACATACACAAAAATGCTAAAGCATAACTTTTTTTCAAAGTTACCATAATTTAACATACAATTGAATCAGCATATTGACCTTTTGAATTATAACTTTTTCTTTAGATTGGGAGCAGCCCAAGGTGGAAAGACTTTTCAAATCCTCAGCTGAAGTAATAAATGTTCTCTGAGTAGAGATGAATTTAAGAGAGCTGAACATTTGTTTTGGGCTAATGGTCTAATATTTGGTGGTGATATTGTCACCACCATCACAACCTTTAAAGTCAATGAGAAATTTATTCTGTCCTCTATTACAGCAGTGAAATCTTCATCTGGGTTCATTAATTTGTGTATGTAACTGCACACACTTTTGGAAAAATGAAATTATCATAGAAAGTAGAATTCAACCTGAGTACATATGTTTGATATCCTAAAATTGTGACAAATTATGTCCTGAAGCATCCTGTTTCTGCTGTTTCCCACAATTGTGCCTGTACATGAAATTCAGGCTGTGCATTACTTCTTAATGTAATCACAAGGACATCTCAAAGTCTGTGAAGATGTATTGCTGCTTGGGGTATTCTCCCAGTGTAGCAGGTGTAAAAACGATTTGGCTCTAAAAAATTATCTAAAGAAGTATTTTCTTTCAGGAGCATAAATTTTGTCACTTCTAATTGTTCATCTTGTAGTTACTGAAGACTTTGGGAAGCTACTGTATGAATCCTAGCAGGATTTGACAGCTGTTGAAGGGAATGGATAGTATGTCCTTTTGTACTTCTTCTGTGGACTGGCAAACACCAACTCTAAGGCAAAGTAAATACTGAAGAGATATTTTCAGTAAAATAAACAATACTTGATTGATATAAATGGCATTCCTTTTTATTTGAGACTTAACTTTCTAGGTTTACTTGAGAAATTTAGTATCAACACTGTAAAATCCATTTTGGATTATCCATCAGTGTAAGATATATGGGAGCTAAAAATCTAAAACCTTTTAAAATTACTTGGCTAGTGGTTTTACTTGTTTGAAATGTGCCTAAATTTTATACAGATAATGAAATTCTGAAGGTCCTTAATACTTTGGGTGTTTTAGAGGATGATCAGTTATCTACAGAACTAAACTTTTGACTGTGACAATATATAGAATAGCACACAATTCTTCAGAAGTGATTCCAGAAACCATTAAGAATAAATACCTATTTTACAGTTAGAAAAAGTATTTAGAATCTGTATTGATAATTTGAACAGTTGTACTATAAGCTTTACAAATGCAAGTATTATAACCATTTGGATTTGGCTGAACGAATAGGAGGAGATGAAAACGGGAATTTGAAAATCTTTAAAAATGACAAAGGTAAAAAATATCCGTTAGTCCACTGACAGACTTGTGCTTCTTCAGTACTGTTTTTCATCAAGCATGACTTAAACAATAGAACATTGTTAGTGTCTCACCATAAACTGTCTTGTTGATAGAATGCATTTTTTGAACTTGTATTAGAAATCGATGTTCATATCTTCACTTTTTGAAGTTACCTAAGCTAAAGTGTTGTGACCTAGGCATTGTTACTAAGCTCAAAGATAGTAACAACAATGATGGAGAAGAGTGATTTAACATTTAGTTGATTTATGCTTTGTACAGGACTCTGTTATAGTGTGCAAAAGGTACTTGTTTTGAGTGGTGGATGTACTGCATGCTCATGTAATAGTTTAGCTCCAGTTAAAAAAAAAGATGGCATTTAAGTTGTAAATAATGTATACTACTATATTTAATTTTTTAACCAACTTTTTTATTTCCCTGTTTGTGTACAGTTCTCTGTGTACATATTAAAAAAAAAAAACTAAAACAAACAAACCACAACATTTTGAGGAACTTTTGTAGTTGCCTTTTGCATTTTGTGTTAATAACCTAAATATGCCCATTCAGCTGTCTGTTTAGTTTGAAGTTTTCATTGCATGCTTTCAGGTTTTTTGAAAAACAGCAATAACATTTGGACAATTATTTAAAGTAAAACATTCTTCTGCACAATTTCCACTTTCATTCTTTAGAATGCAGACACAGTGGAACAGTTGTCCAACTGTAAGATTTAAAGAATCTTTAAGTAATTATTTATATTTCTTTTTTTTTGGTTGTAGGAAATGTCTCATAGTAGCTTATAAACAGAATTTGCAAGTTAAACATGGTTTCTCATGCTCCTTTATTTAACTAAAGTTTTCTATTAAAATATTTTCATAAACTTTGTGTAGCTTATTGCATGTTCTTCTAAGTAATCATGAAGCTATGTGTCAACCTCTGTATGAAATATGCCGACAACACAAGTTTTAACGTTTTGTGAATCTGGTTGAAATGTACAGATATACACATAAAATAAAGCTAAAATTAGTAATTAAATGATGTACCTTCTTGTAGACCACACTGGTGTCTTCCTGCAGTTGTCTTAATTGTGGTTTATAGATAGAAAAAGCCCTCACTGGTACCTGTGTTAGCAGGTTGTGGGCAATACCTTTATTTCTCCATTGTTTCCACACACAGCTTTATAAGCTATGGCCTCTGTTTCTTACAGTTAAACTTTAGCATGTGGGGGAAAAAAAAATGCGGGAGCAAATGAATCATCTGTAAATGGCTGGTTACAGCAGAAACTGAGGCAGCTGCTTCTGTGGTTATAGTAAGGATTTGTTTATGCAACTGGGTGTATGTAGTTTAGAAAACAAATTGGTTGCAGAAATGAGAACCAGATTGATACAGTTCATCAGGTTAAGCCAGCTGACAAGGGAAAGCTGTTTGGGAAAAATATGCTTAGTCAATGTGATGTAAATGTTTTTATAGTTTTTTTGGGGGTTTTTTTTGTTTGTTTTGTTTTGTTTTTTTGTGGGCCTGCTGAGGTATATAGATGCTAGTTATTCCTGCTTTTGTCCTATGTACTTAATTTTTAAGGAAGTCTAATTTACCATGATTAGTCATTATCTCTTGGAGATATTTGACAGACTGTAATTTAAGCTTTTTATTGTTTATTTTGAAGGAAAAAAGTTTGATTTGCTTTATATTTTCCTAAATAGCCTGTCTGAGAACATACACTTGTAAATCTGTGTGTCTTCCATGGAGACTGAAAATACTGCTTTTAGAGATGGTATTGCAGGAGCTGATTTATGAAGTGCTTAAGGGGCTTTAGGGAGTATGAAACTAGGTTGCTTTGTCTCAAAGTAGTGGTGGGTTGTGAGGTGTTTTGTTTTCTTGGTAATATTTTTTTTTTTGTGCATTTGAAATTTTGGTTTTGGGTTTTTTAAATTTGTAATTTAAAGTTGCTTTCAAGATGAGCTTTTACTGTGAGTGATGGAGGTACAAAAAGGGAAATCAATCTAAGGGAAAGGATTCAAAATACCTGAATCTTCTGATTATAAACTCTGGAGGAAGTCGTGTCAGGCACAAAGCAATGCTGTGCTGAAGTATCAGCTTTAAGAGTAACTGCCAGAAGCAAGCAGCTACTTGGATTTTGCACCCTGTGTGGGGTGGGGTACCTGCCTCTGCAGAACAGCTGGGCACTCTCTGGATCTGCCTCTGGACACAGCAGGGATGTTCCAGTGCCACCCTGCTCCCTGGCTGCCTGCGCGGGACCTCTGCAAACATCTGTGACATCTGGGCTGTGTCCCCAGTGGGAGCCAGGGAACATCAGGAGCTGAGAGCTGCTCCAAGGTAAGGCATCTCTGTGCCCAATCTGGAGCCCTCACCCCAGGAAGAGCAATGTCCAAATGCTATTTCCATTACCCCACAATGGCTCATTCACAATTGATTTTTTTTTCCTTCTTAAAAAATAAGATGTGCTTATATATAAGACACATACTCTCCCAAAGAACAGATTTTCTTGTTTTCTGAGAAGCTTCATTTCAGGAAATGCTGTTAAGCATTGCATCTTACATTGCTTCACAGAAAGGTTTTTAAATCATTTTCCCTCTTCCTGCCACAATGAGAGAAGTAATATGTCAACTTCAGAACACCAGAAGTAATTAGCCTGGTGGGTTGGGTGCAACCAGAATAAAACTGTGTTAAAGCGTTCTACATATTTTTAACATATATAATATGTCTACAAACATATATGTAAATATAGATACACATATATATATCCATATTTATTTGAGCTTCTCTTTCTGGCTACACTTTGTAGCGGTGGGGTCTACCTTTTCTTTTAGAAGTATTTGTTATTTTTCAAGTATTCCTAGTAAGCTTGGGCACGGAAGTACAGTGTAGGTGAAGCTTGTTCAACTGTAAAATAGGATACGAGTTTAAATTTTTCAGACAGCATGAGGACATGATTTTTATTTCAAGTATGTTCCTTTTGTCCAAATAAATTATGGCATGTGTCAGCTCAACTCTGTTGATGGATAATAGAACAACACTGATTACTGACATTCCAGGCATGATAGATACTGGCACTATCAGGGGTTTTTAAAGTTGTTAAAAGCTGACTGAAAATATTATTGTAGAATAGCAGCTTGAAATGTTATCAGTGGAAGGGGAGCCAGAGTAATCAGTAGTCTGAGCCTATAGCTTCCTATTTAACATGGAATTTATCCCAACACAACTGTTTCAGAACCAGACAAAGCTGCCCCTTTGCACAGTACCTATCAGCTGAGCAGCACCTTTGTACTGTGGTTGCATTTTGCTTTAGAGCTGCCTAAACTGTCCCTGGTGCTATCTAAATAAAATAAAATAAAATAAAATAAAATAAAATAAAATAAAATAAAATAGTGCCTTAAAAAAATGTTTCTAATGCCTGCACTATTTGTTCTGTCTTTAGCGTTGGAGCAGTTACAGCTAATGAATGCCTTTCCATTTCCAAACCTTGCTGGGCACAGCTTCTGCTTTTAGCACAATTCCAGCTACCCTCCCTCTTTAGAGGTTATTTGTTGTTCCCTAACTACCCTGGCAGAGGTGTGCAGCCCTGCTCCTAGCACAGGACAGCCTAGAGCCTTGGTCCCTGACTGTAGCCCTTTTGTGCTGGCATGCATGCACAGGATTTACCCTACAGAGGCTGTAACTAAGTGTGAGACTGTAGAAAACTGTCATCTAAAGGCAGGATGGGGAAAGGCCATGGCATTGTTCAGCATGCTAAAATGATAGGATTTAGAGAACTGTGTTTTAAAAAGTCAAAATTGAGGCCGTTATCATGTAGCTAAGTAACTTGAGTGATTATGGATAAAATATAACAGTGCTTGAGAAGTCAGTCACTGGCAGACAGTGACATGACAGGCTCACTGCATGTGGGTGAAAATGCCCTGCTAGTCCATTAAGTGGCCTGAGTGGCACATGCTTTGGAATACCTCGAAATAAAAGCATGGAACTTAGCTAGGGCAGGGAAGCAGGGCAAGAGATGGGGGTGGGCAAGACTAGGATGCACTGAATTATGGTGAAGATCTTTGTAGAGTGTGAAAGGAAGCAAGGAAAGGTGTATGTCTCTGAATGGGGGAAAAGGATGCTGCAATCACAAGGGAGGCTGCAAGAGCTTCATCTGAAAGGCTAGGAGAGTTTTATTATTCTATATATATAAAGGTAGATGTTCACATCAAAGAGCATGCCTCAAGTTTAGCATTTTTAATTATGGCAGTTCTGTACAGGAAGGGAAAGAAAACAGTGAGATATAAAAGAAAATAATAATGCACTGGAAGAATTAAAGACAGATTCCAGACCCATCTTCATACTTCAACCTGCTCTCCTTCAGAGTCAGGTGCTGCACAAAGGTACACAGCCAGGGCTGTTTCCCTCATGCAGAACAAACACTTCCTCTTTCATGTAGTACTTACTGTGTGCTTTTTGGGATCCCACCAGTTTAGAAAATTCATGCCTCTATTAACTACTGACAAAATAATTAATTAAAAATCTGTTCAGGTTCAAATAATATTTAAGTTCTTTTTTTACCTAAATTGTTACTTTGGGGGATATTAGAACAAGTGCTTAGCTACATTGATTTTCCACAAATACAAGAAAATATTTTTCTTGATAGTTTTCAAAAAGAACCAATGAAATGCTACATACTTCACTGTACCAGATCGTGTGCTATGAATTTTTTCGGCATATAACCCTTCTTTTAGAGGACTGTTGTTGTATAAGGGTTGGATGATTTGTGTCTCTAGCACCAAGAGTTTGTTGATATTTAAGCAAACCCCCTGCAAAGCAGAAGTTCTGTCACTAGGTGGTGATCTTGGCCTGTCCATGATTTCTCTCCCTCCTTTCCTCTTTCCTCCCACGCTGCACTTCCACATAATAGCCAAAGCAACAATCCTGTCTTAATGCCGCTTCTGAATATTATGTCTACAAAGGTAAATAGTCCTAGCATTTAAAAACTTAGGGCAGACTGAAGCTATTCGTTCTTACAGTTTTCCTCATAACTTTATCTTTGCTTATGATGTCTGGTACTCAAGGTATTATTTATTCTTTATTCCTGGTTGCATGTTTAACATTGTGCTATATGACACAAATGTTTCTAAAATTCAAACTAAAAAATACAGGAGCAGATGAGAAAATCCAGATCTCGAACACTTAAATGTTAAATTACTCTTTACCTGACTTAAAAGAGAAATGTGGTTGTGGTGGTGGTGGTGGATGTTTTTCCAAATAAAGGAACAGAGCAGTAGTGTGTTGAGTTGGGAATTTAGGGTACAAGATTTTACCCGGTGAGACGTAGTAAGGAAACAGGAAAAGTGGGAGAGTGCAACAAACTGGGACAGAAGGGAATCTCTTCTTGAGGCTATACTTCTATCTGACTTGCCAGAGCAGGTGCTTTCTTTGGAACACCTCCTTTCTTTCCATGCAGTGCAGCTCTGCAGGCTGACAAGGTGAGCCTGTAAAACGGGGAGTTTTCGGGAGCTGAACGTGATGGTTTTGCCATCTGTGTTCGCCCGTGCAAGCTGGGACTCCGAATCCCACAGGCCAGCTTTAGGCTTGCCTCTCTCTGTGCCCAGCCATGGCATGAAGTGCTCTCATTTCACTGGGTGTTTTGGAAAGTGAAGTCCTGCTTGGCGTTCTAGTTGGTCAGACTGAGATAGGAGATCCTTCAGGAAGAAGCACTTCAGTGCCAAGACAGGGTCTGGCATTTAAATCTTTGCAAAGCACTTCCCAAGGATTTGGCAGTCAGAGTAATTACTTTGCAGACAGAAAGGATCTTGGTCTAAGAACTAATGCCTTGACTGGCATGTCTGAGGAAGATCAGCCTGAAAACAGCCAGATCATCAAAGTCACATTAAAATCTCAGTCAACTGCAAGAGAAACTTACCAGTTCCCACTTGAAGTAGAACTATTTCACAGGATTTCATGTCCTGTGGGAAAGATTCCAAACAGTTCTGTAGTGAACTTCAACAGCTTTACAGTAGAGAGGGAAAGTGCCTGAAATTCTTCACATA